TCCTCTGCAAGAGCATCAGGTCCTCTGCAAGAGCATCAGGTCCTCTGCAAGAGAATCAGGTCCTCTGCAAGAGCATCGGGTCCTCTGCAAGAGCATCGGGTCCTCTGCAAGAGCATCGGGTCCTCTGCAAGAGCATCGGGTCCTCTGCAAGAGCATCAGGTCCTCTTGACTGCGGAGCATCAGGTCCTCTTGACTGCGGAGCGTCTCTTTAACTCTCTGCCACCTTTTGAGCTTGACTTTCTTGTTACAGATGAAGGAAATTTCTCTCCCTGTCATCTTAGAGAAGGTGGAAGTGTTCGTCTTATTGGTGATAGAGTTTAGTCCTTTTAGTGGGCAAACTTAGATTTTTGAACTTGAATAATGATGAAGAGTTACCCAGGGCTCAGCCATTAAGAACATTTGCTCTTCTCATAGAAGACCCAAATCCAGTTCCCAACACCCACATCGGACAGCTCACAATTGCCTTTAACTCCAGCTCCGGGGAATCTGATGCCCCCTTCTGTCTTCCACGGGCACCTGCATGCATGTGCATACACACGTACACACACTTCTAGACACACACATGCACACACACATAAGTAAATAAATACAAAGAAGGAAAAAAGAGTCATGTAAGGCTGTCCTAGCAAGATGGCCTCTCATGTGCAGGGGAGCATGTGACAGGCAGAGAGCTCTTCAGACAGTATTTGATTTAGGCCTTTCTCCTTGGACTGAGGGGATTCTCAGAACTCAGTCTCCAGCTCCCTGGGTTGTAGTCTCCCTGGCCCTGTGCAGCCTTGGCGGCTGCTTCATCATTCACCACAGTCAAAAATGTCTGTTGACTCCACTCTTAAGGGAGAAGACAAGAACAAGGAGAGACATCTAACTTTTCCACTGACTGTCAAGGGTGAGAGATTCAATGCTGTTTGCTAAGGACAGGCCCCCAGAAAGGGAACAGCAACACCTGTTGAGTAAACTTTGCCGTCCTTAGCTGTCCCCTTCCAAACCTCTGGGCTCTCTCAAATTAAAAATATTTTCATTTGCGTCTGCACCTTGGTGGTTGGGAGTGCTAAAGGTCTTCAATTATCTCTCCAAATGGCCATGTTGGATGCAGTTGCCTTATGCTCGGACACATGGTTAAGTTCAATTTATTGTTGTGTTGTTGTTATTGACCCCTCCCCCTCCCCCCCCCACACACGCGCCCCACATACAATGTTTCATTCCAAGAGGAACACAGTGTTTGGAGATGGGTTCCCAGTGTCTCTTGGGTAACAAGAGGAGTCACAATTTGCTCTGTGTGGAGAGAAGAGAGAAGTGCCCATGGCCGCAGTGGTCCCCTGTGAGAATCTTGGGATCAGGGGGCAGGAAGCCCAGCAAAGGAGAGATATTGAAGGGAAGGGTCCCCAGCAGCTGCTGCATGGCTGGACTTGGAGCCCTGCCATTACCAGGGTCTGCTTGACAATGGTGCCATTAGAGTCCAAGATGGGGCTGGGGTGTGGCTCAGTGGCATGGTGGTTGTCGTTTGTCTAGCATGTGCAGAGCCCCTGGTTCCGTGCCTATCATAGAAGGAAAGAGGGAGGGAGGGAGGGAGGGAGGGAGGGAGGGAGGGAAAAAAGGCAGGTAGGCAGGCTGGTCAGTCTTGGTAGTCACCTCGGGACATAGCCTGAGCAGTCAGTCTTAGCCCTGAGAACATGTCTCAGCATAGATTTGCTCACCTGCTTCTTCAGCAGCTGGAACAACTAACTAGGCAGATGTCATTTCCCCAGGGGTCATCATAGGCAGTCCTCTCCTACATTGCAAGTTTGAGACCATCCTGGGTTACATGAGACCCTGTGCTCATAAAGAACCATTATCCCGTGATACTCCAGAATTCATAGCCATCATCCCAGACCTGGCTGTTGTTAAAATGGGTCTTTGTGGTGTTTATAGCAGAGCATAATGTAGAGATATCGTTATTTCAGACTTGCTGTGTAGTGTGCACGCCCTTCATAATGCGCATGGCCTTCATCTCACTAGCAATCTGGGTGTGCTGTCCTCCTGTGCCCCCCCCCCACACATCTAGCAAGTGCAAAGTGGCTCTATAATGTGCTGTCTTTTCTTTCTTTTTAAAAACTTCATTTATATGTGGGAGGATGAGGTGGGCTGTGTAGGGGCATGCCATGTATGTGCAGGTGCCCATGGAGGTCAGAAGAGGGTGTCAGATCTCCTGGGATTGCAGGTGGTTGTGAGCCACCAGACAAGATGGCTGGGCACCAAACTCACATCCTCTGAAGAGCAGCAGGTACTCTTAACTGATGAGCCATCTCTCTACCCCCCTCTTCCTTTTTTTTTTTTCTAAAGCAGAGTCATACCCTGTATCCCAGGCTGGCCTTAAATTTGTAATCCTCCTCCTGCCTCAACCTCCCAAGTGCCAGGATTGCAGGTGTGAGCAGCCACACTTAGCTTATTGTGCTCTGTTTACCCAAATTATACTGTCCACCGTCTGGTGGACATTGAAGGTGTTTCCATTCTTTCCCTGATAGCAGTCATATATCTCTTCTGTCGTTCCAGAGTTTCTGGACAGTAGGTTCTTCCTCTATGTGTGCATCTGTATGTTTCATGGGTGTGAGTACATGTTATATGTACGTGGAGGCCACATATCAATGTCTTCCTCAGTCACTCCCCACCCTTACCCTTTATTGCATACATGTATTTATTTAAAGTGTGTGTCCATATTCATAGAGGTCAGAGGATCACTTGTAGAAACCAGTTCTTTCCTTCCACCATATGGGTCTCCAGGACTGAACTCAGGTCCTCAGGCTTGGCAGCCAGGGCCTTTCACTGAGCTGCCCTATCTGCCTCCTCTTCCACCTTGTTTTTTGAGATAAAGCCAAACATGATGATGTGTGCCTATAGTCCCAGAGATCAAGAGGATCCCTGAGGCTCACTGGCCAGCCAGTATAGCCTGTCTATCAGCTCCCAGTTCTAGAAGAGTCCCTATCTGAAAAAGTAAACTGGAAGACAATTGAGGAAAACTCCTGATGTTCACTTCTAGCCTATGCATGCAAATGCATGCACACACACAAATAGTCCACAGTATCAAGAAACAAGGGATCTTGTTGTAGCGAGATCCATGCCAAAGACAATATCTAGAGCCCATCATTTGTGTTCAAGCTCACGTTTTCTGTTCAGATGACTCACACTCACATGAAGAGGGGCCTTACTCTGAGAGGACACCCAAATGACTGTAGCCACCACACTTCATCATCATCTGCTCCATCTTGAGTCCTGTCTTCCCTTCAGAAGCATGAACAGAGAGGTGAAGTGAGGTGCCACCAAGGCAAAGCATGTTAAATGACTTGCTCAGTCCTTGGCATACAGTAAGCGCTTGTCCTGGTTTCATTTCTGTTCTTGTGATTAATTAAAAAAAAAACAAAAAACAAAAAAAAACAAAAAAAAAAAACCCTGACTAAAAGCAATTCAGAGGAGAAAGGGTTTTGTAGCAGAAAAGTCACGGTAGTGGGAGCTTGAAGCAGCTAACCTTATCATATCCACAGTCGGGAGCAGAGAGCATCCAATGCAGGCAGTTGAGCTCGCCTCCTCCTTTCTCATACAATTCTGGACCTGCTGCATAGGGAATGACACCACCCACAGTGGGCTGGATCTCCAAGACAGTCCTCCACAGACATGCCCACAGACCAACCTGAATAGACAATTCCTCAACAGAGGCTCTCTTCCCAAGTGATTCTAGGTTGTATCAAGTTGACAATTAAAAGCTAAAGAGGTTAGAAAAATGTCTCACCAAGAAAAATCCTACTGCTCGCCGGGCGGTAGTGGCACATGCCTTTAATCCCAGCTCTCAGGAGGCAGAGCCAGGCGGATCTCTGTGAGTTCGAGGCCAGCCTGGTCTACAGAGTGAGTTCCAGGAAAGGAGCAAAGCTACAGAGAAACCCTGTCTCAAAAAACAAAAAAAACAAAACAAAACAAAAAAAAAAAAAAATCCTACTGCTCTTCCAGAGGACTTGCGTTCTATTCCTAGCATACTCACAGTGGAAAATAACACAAGATGAATCTTCAAAAAAAAAAAAAAAATAGAACTGACCATCGCAGCATTTGAAAAGGATTTTCCTTCAGCTTTGGCTCTGCTCCTGATGGCAGGAGAGCTGGCAAGCCTGTGGCTCAAGGCAAGCATGTGCCTTTGGCAGGTGGCTGCCATGAGTGGCACTCTGGAAGTTTGTTTGTTTGCGTGGTGCTTTTCAGTCAGCAGGATGGGTTGGGGAGAGAGGCAGGCATGTGATGCTGACGACAGAGCCGCTTCCCAGACTCTCCAAACCCTCTGCGGCCTCATCAAGATGCTTCAGAAACTCAGGCCCTTTGTGCTCCTTCCAAATGCCGTGTCTCTGATTCAGCATCTCTCAGAAACCTTAGATCTTAAATTCACTGTTCTGCCAAGTTTGGGCAATCTGTTCCTTCAAGTCCCAGGATGGCACCTACCTTAGTTCATCTTCTTACGCTGTAGCCGAAAACCACAGACCAGTTAATTTATAAACAAGAGACATTTATTTACTCCCGGTCCTAGAGGCCAGGAAGTCCCCATGATGCTGACATCTGGTGAAGGGTTTATGCTGCTTTACACTTGGTAGATGGCAAGGAAGCCATGCAAGGCCTAGGATTCCTCTGTTTGCTATGTTCACGTTTTTAAAGCATTTTTTGGCACTCCATCTGGGAGAGGGATAGCAATATAAGCCCTAACGCTTAACCCATTCTCCTTCCAACGGGGAGTCAGTACCTGTGTTCGTCTTGTTGCTGTGACAAAACACCAGACACTGGTCTGAAGAGATGGCTCAGAGGTTAAGACCACTGGCTGCTCTTCCAGAGGACCTGAGTTCAATTCCTGGCAACCACATAGTGGCTCACAACCATCTATAATGAGATCTGGTGCCCTCTTCTGGCCTGCAGGCATACATGCAGGTAGAACACTGTATACATGATAAATAAATATAAATCTTACACTCCCCCTAAAAAAAAAAGCACCCAACAAAAACAACTTAAGGAAGGGTTTATTAGGGCTCAGAGTTTGAGAGTGCAGTAAGTACATCATGGCAGAGAAGATATGACCACTGGGTATGAATGATCTGGTCACATTGCATCCACAATGTGGGGGTGTGGGGAGGAGGGGGAGCTGGTGCCCAAGTCAGTTTCTCCTGCTCTGCAGGTTGCCCTGATCCTCCCGCAGGAAGGGGACTACCCACATCCACAGGGAGTCCTCCCACCTTGGTTAACTTAACCTAGGAATGCACTCAGATTTGTTTCCATGTTCGTTCTAAACCCCTTCAAGTTGACAGTCCAATTTAACCGGTCCAAGGTCTTTCAGCTTCATCCTGCCTGATGGCATTCTGCTACCTGGGGAATCAAGATGGCCTTCTGGAGTGGTCACCGGTATTGATCACAGCACAACACAGCTGCACTTGTCCCCCGAGGTTGCTTCAGAGTTGAGAAGAGCTTTAGATTGATCCTCATCTAAGTTCTTCTTCTAGTCCACGGCTCTGCGGGGTCGGCAGTGGTACACACACACACACACCAACAACGAGGCCTGACCCACCGATTGCCTTCCCTACTTCAGACTTCAAGTCCAGCTGTTCGGCTCTTATGTCAAAAATATCCAGGGAAGAAGAGATGTGTCTCTTTGTCCTTGTGATGAAGGGGCTCTGAAAAAGACATACAGTCACTAGCTCACAAACACAGGCCTTCGAGGGCTCAACAGATAAATCTCTCACTAGCTTGCCAAACCTAGCCTTTGAGGGTAGGAAGCTGACTTTTGAGAAAGTTAGAGGCCAATGTGAAGGTGTTTGAATCAGCTCTATTATTTAATCTGAACAACCTGAAAAATAGATGTTGCCCCCATTTTATAAGAGCACTGAGGCTCAGAGGACTCTAAATAACTTGCTGGAAATTTCTGGAAGCCTGGATTCAGACTTTAATGTGCAGTTGCAGAGAAGACTCAGTGCTCTTGCAGAGGACCTAGGTTTTGTTCCTAGCACCCATGCCTAGTGGCTCACAGCCACTCCAGTTCTAAGGGGTCCTGACTTCTGGCCTCTGTAGCTACTGCGTGGCGTGGTACACGTACATACACAAAGGCACATACACATTAAAAAAATTTTTGTTCTTGAGACAGGGTCTCACTCTTTAGCCCTGGCTGGCCGGGAACTCACTATGTAGACCAGGCTATCCTTGAACTCACATAGGTCTACCTGACTCTCCCTCCAGAATGCTGGAATTACAAGCATGCACCTTTATGCCCAGATAACCTACACATAAAATTTTAAAAAGAAAACAACTCTTTAGGGCTGAAGAGCTGACTCAGCAGATAAGAGCTCTTGACACTATTTCAGGCTGTCTGGATTCGATTCCAAGTGCCCACATAGGGTGGTTCACAAACACTTGTCACTGTCATTTCAGAGGCTCCAATGCCCTCTTCTGGCCTCCAAGGTCACTGCACTCACATGCACAAGCCCACATTCAGATACACATATATACATAATTTTAAAAATAATAAACAATAAAATATTTTTTAAATAGAGCAATAGAGAAAGACACCTGACATCCACCTCTGGCATCCATGCATACACACAGGCCCATGCATACCTGCATACACACAGGCCCATGCATACCTGCATACACACAGGCCCATGCATACCTCATACACACAGGCCCAGACACACCTCCATACACACAGGCCCATACACACCTGCATACACATATGCCCAGATACACAAAGAACATCTGTGAGTCTCTGGTTAGACTTTTGATTTAATAAACTTGAGCTGTCTATGGGTCAGATTGTATATTCTCATTATAGGTCAGGGCCACTGATGACCCTTTATACCCTGTGTCCAAAGAACACTGCTAAAGTCAGAGTGGGTGAGGACAGTCTCAAAGGCGGCCCAGATTCAAAGGTTGTGCCAAAACCCATTTGGGTCCTACCTGACTTCCTAAATGGAAGAGCTTGGCCCAGGGGAATTAGGATGCTGTTTCCTGGCCTCCTGTCATTACACAGTATAAGAGGGGTTTCTTTCTAGTGTGTCCTTGAGTAATCTTGTTGACTGTAATTAGCAGTCATCTTGAGATCTGTGTCAAAAGGAACTGGGTTACATTATGTAACAGGGTGCTCAGGAGACACTGTTTATCATGCTAGAACTGGGAACCAGGCCCAATACTGGGAACAAGAGGAATTATGGCCCTTCAGTCTTCAGGCAGCTGCTGATCACGAAGGTCAGGGACTTCCCAGGCCTATGAGGAGATTACCTCTCACCACTGCTCAGATCATCCACCCTAACCCCTTACTACATGGAGACGAGGGAGTCCTGAGTCATTATCCACACACGCATCTTACCTAGCCTTAAAACCATGTAACAGGGGTCTTCTCAGGTAACTGACGACAGAAATTGGGAGCATCCTCAGACTACTGGCTGAACCAGGAATATGAAGCCTCCCCCGCCCCATACTGCTGTCATGGAAGACTAGGGGAGAGGCTGGTGAGGTGGCTGTATGGATAAGGGAGCTTGCCACCAAGGCTGATGACCTGAGTTCAATCCCTGGGACTGGCATGGTGAAAAGCGAAAACTGACTGCATCCCCCACCGTGATTTACTGTTACTACTGCAACAGGGCCAAAGCAACAGGACCGAGTGGCCATGAACCAAAACTCCTGAGGCCATGAGTGGGGGGGGGGGGGGGGAGAAAACACTTCTTGTAAATAGTGTAACTCTGATATTTTTGTCACAGTAATGAAAAACTGATTCATATACCTGCCTACCCAGAAAGTCAGTGTGTTCACTGGCTTGGACTCTCTCTTAATCACCAGGTCTTCTTGTTTTAGGATTTACAGATCTGGCTCTCCGATGCTCCCTTCTGTTTCCCAGAGGTCAGCTGACGGGCCTTGCAGTCACTCTGCTGTTTGTAATAAGCAGCCCCATCTTGTATGGGGCTCCAACTCAGTTCACCTTATTAACACAAATTAAGGCGTCATGGAAGGAAGGGCCTCCTGGTGGATAATGAGACGGTCCAGGCTCAGGAAATTCCAACAACCACAGGAGCGCCATCCTAGGAACCACAGACACTAGGAACCACAGACAAGGGCCAAATCCTTTTCTCATTACGTCCCAAGCATTAAGTGGAAGTGTGTATGAAGCGCTCAGCACCGGCTCCGGTACAAACCTTGACCACACAGCTCACATGGTGATTTCCCTTTCTTCTGTCCTGGGCTCTCTTCTGACCCCCCTCACCAGTGGCCCTTTAGTTTTGGGGTTTTTTTTTCTTATTCTTTTCCCTGTCCTCTAGAAGGAATCAGTAGTGGTCTTTGTGGACTGTTAAATTCTTTTGTGGTGTTTATTCAAAATTCCCAATCTCACATGCTCTCTTCTTAGCGTGATGAGTTTTGAATGTTTCTGGCCCTAAATTTTAACTGGGACAGGTGTGGAACACATGCTGAGACACCCCCACCATGGGAACTTGTGTCCTCCAGCTTCCTACATGCCAGACAGAACTTAAGAGCGAACTTCCTCCGAGCGCACCACTTTGCAGGGGAACAGCATAAATCGCCGTCTGGGGTACACTCTGGTGCCGAGCGCAAAGGCTAAAAATAGCGCTTCGTGCGTTAACTGGTAACAAGGCAAGAGCCGACCCTTCTAGCCACTTAGGCTTTCTCTTTTCCCTTTCGTAAACTATCGAATCACAGCTGACCTTTTCAGCCAAGTCATCACTTAGTGCTCAAGTCCACATGCTCCAGAAGCTCCTGGGTTGGATTTTTGTTTAAAAGTTTCTTTGAACTATAGACCACAAACCCGAGCATTCACTCATTTTGAGGGTACTGTTTTAGTCATAGATCTGAGCCAGCGAGATGGCTCAGTAGGTAAAGGCGCTTGCTACCAAGCCTGAGATCTGAGTTTGATCTCTGGGGCCCTCGTGGTGGAAGGATAGAGCCAATTCCTGCAAATTGTCCTCTGACTTCCACACTTGCACCATAGCACATGTATACACACACACACACACACACA